ACCGCAAGCACCTGCGGTAGTACCACTGGGGGTCACGGTAGTACCGCTCCTCTGGAGCCTTAGTACCGTGGCTCCCAGGCCTAGTGCCGCTCCAGTACGGTAGTAGGGGCGGATGTAATTTTTTACATCCGCGCCCCCACGGTAGTACCGCACGTCCTGCGCGGTAGTACCGCAGGAGGCCATGGTAGTACCGCTCCCCCGGAGTCGTAGTACCGTGGCCCTCGTACCTAGTACCGCTGCGTCACGGTAGTAGGAGCGGATGTAATTTTTTACATCCGCGCCTCCACGGTAGTACCGCGCCTCGTGCGCGGTAGTACCGCGTCGAATTTTTTGCACTGTTTCATTTTCAGCGGAAGTAGGCACGGATCTAATTTATTTCATCCGCGCCCTTCATAGGCATTGACTTTCTTGCCTTGCGGTAGTACCGCAAGGGGGAGCGGCAGTACCGCGCAAGCGGTAATACTGCACCCAATCAGGCAAGTCCCGGCCTCTGCTGCTACCGCGGAAGTACCGTGGTCCTCCACGGTAGTACCGCGTGGCCTTGCGGTAGTACCGCGCCCCTGGAGCGGTAGTACCGCATGTCGCAGGCTGAACATGTGGATAACGGTTGGATCTTTTCCGTAACTATAAAAGGGGTGTCTCCTACCTCTAGTTGACTACCTCTTCCACCTCTAAGCTCCATTGTTGCTCCAAGCTCCATTTTGGCCCGATCTCTCTCCCTAGCCAATCAAACTTGTTGATTTGCTCGGGATTGGGTGACAAGGGCCTGATCTACACTTCCACCAAGAGATATTTGATTCCCCCACTAATCCCTAGCGGATCTTGTTACTCTTGGGTGTTTGAGCACCCTAGACGGTTGAGGTCACCTCGAAGCCATACTCCATTGTGGTGAAGCTTCGTGGTGTTGTTGGGAGCCTCCAAGTGTTGTGGAGATTGCCCCATCCTTGTTTGTAAAGGTTCGGTCGCCGCCTTCAAGGGCACCAATTGTAGAATCACGGCATTTCGCATTGTGTGAGGGCGTGAGGAGATTACGGTGGCCCTAGTGGCTTCTTGGGGAGCATTGTGCCTCCACACCGCTCTAACAGAGACGTACTTCCCTTTAAAAGGAAGGAACTTCGATAACACATCCTCGTCTTCACCGGCTCCACTCTTGGTTATTTAGTGCCTTTACTTTTGCAAGCTTACTTGTGTTGTATCTATTGCTTTCTTGTGTGCTAGTTGTCATTGCATCATATAGGTTGTCCACATAGTTGTATATCTAGACAACCTATTTTGTCGCAAGGTTTAAATTGTTAAAGAAAAGCTTAAAAATTGTTAGTTGCCTATTCACCCCCCTCTAGTCAACCATATCGATCCTTTCACTATTTTTTTTGCCTATTTCAGTATTTCGAAGAAAAGGAATATCAAACGGAGTCCAAACAGAATGAAACCTTCGGGAGCATGATTTTTGGAACGAATGTGATCCAGAGGACTTGGAGTGCAAGTCAAGAAGAAATCGAGGCGGCCAAGAGATAGGAGGGCGCGCCCACCCCTCCTGGGCGCGCCCCTGTCTCCAGGGCCCCTCCAGCGGCCACCGACGTACTTCTTCCTCCTATATATACCTACGTACCCCGAAAACATCCAGGGAGCCAACGAAAAACAATTTCCACCGCCGTAACCTTCTGTATCCGCGAGATCCCATCTTGGAGCCTTCGCCGGCGCTCCGCCGGAGGGGGAATCGACCACGGAGAGCTTCTACATCAACACCATAGCCCATCCGATGAGTTGTGAGTAGTTTACCACAGGCCTTCGGGTCCATAATTATTAGCTAGATGGCTTCTTCTCTCTTTTTGGATCTCAATACAATGTTCTCCCCCTCTCTTGTGGAGACCTATTCGATGTAACTCTTTTTGTGGTGTGTTTGTCGAGATCTGGTGAATTGTGGGTTTATGATCCAGTTTATCTATGAGAAATATTTGAATCTTCTCTGAATTCTTTTATGTATGATTGAGTTATCTTTGCAAGTCTCTTCAAATTATCAATTTGGTTTGGCCTACTAGATTGATCTTTCTTGCCATGGGAGAAGTGCTTAGCTTTGGGTTCAATCATGCGGTGTCATTACCCAGTGACATAATGGGTTGCAAGGCACGTATTGTATTATTGCCATCGAGGATAAAAAATGGGGTTTATATCATATTGCTTGAGTTTATCCCTCTACATCATGTCATCTTTCTTAATGCGTTACTCTGTTCTTATGAACTTAATACTCTAGATGCATGCTGGATAGCGGTCGATGTGTGAGTAATAGTAGTAGATGCAGGCAGGAGTCGGTTTACTTGTCGCGGACGTGATGCCTATATACATGATCATGCCTAGATAATCTCATAATTATTCGCTTTTCTATCAATTGCTTGACAGTAATTTGTTCACCCACCATAATACTTATGCTATCTTGAAAGAAGCCACTATATTATAAAATACCAAAAATGTATTTATCTTATCATACTATCTCTATCAGATCTCACTTTCGCAAGTGACCGTGAAGGTATTGACAACCCCTTTATTGCGTTGGTTGCGAGTTCTTTGTTTGTTTGTGTAGGTGCGTGGGACTTTTGAGGAGCCTCCTACTAGATTGATACCTTGGTTCTCAAAAACTGAGGGAAATACTTACGCTACTTTGCTGCATCACCCTTTCCTCTTCAAGGAAAACCAACGCAAGCTCAAGACGTAGCAAGCTTCTTCTTCTCAAGCTCTTGCTTTAGGTCAGAAAGAGAAAGTGTTGCATTGCCCAATTCTGTAATTGCCTGCTCCTTTTCAGCCACCATCTTAGCAAAATCTACTTTAAAAAACCTCAAATCTTTTTCCATCTTTTCCTTCTCTTTCACAACCCTAAAATTTTCCGCAGCATTAACTACATTTTCCCTGAGCCTTAGCTTGTTCTCATCATCATACATGCCCCAAACCCTAGCTAAACTCATCTTCAGAGTGGCAGGCCATTCAGGGTTAATCCACTCCATAAAGTTGCATTTAAGTATTTCCTATCAAATAATAAAGAAAACAACTTTAGATAAATGAAAAAGCTTGGAGGAGTATTGATTCAGTTAAATTCATTTAAATCCAGTTAAGTTCACTTAACTGAATTTAAATCCAGTTAAGTTAAGTTAGTTCATTTGATTTCAGTTAAGTTCACTTAACTGAATTTAAATTTAGATAAGTTCAGTTATTTCATTTAAACTCAGTTAAGTTATGTTATTTCATTAAAATCCAGTTAAGTTCAGTTACTTCATTCAAATTCAGTTAAGTTCACAAACAAGATGGTGTTAACTCAAAGATTCAGTTAAGTTCACAAACTAGATGCTCTTAACTGAATATGCATTGCAAGTTGGATTTAACTGTAGATCTACTAACCTTTTGTGCACAAGCAAGATACCTCCTTCCACTATCAACTGATTCAAAGGACACAAAATTCTCACACACACAATGGTGTTCACATCTAGCTGCAAGATCTGGAGCAAGGCCTCTCCACTCAGAGCAGAAAATGGTGGCAGAAGTAGGAGCCTACAACATTGTGTACAACAAATTCTAGTCAGCAAAGAGGCAGGCATCGAATACCTAACTACTGCATCATCTATGCTGAAATTTTGCTACTCAAGAACACCATTTTTGCTAAATCCCTAACTGCCATAGGCATAGTCAAGAACTAACCTCATTTGTCACAGAGTAGCCGTCGGACGACGAGCTGGATCCTTCACTCCAAGATACCATAGGGGACGAGCTGGAGGGCGGCGGTGAGCTGGACGGCGGCGGCGAGCTTGCTGGTGGCGTGGAGAAGCTGCTGCTGGAGCTGAGGGGGGCAGGGGGCAGATGGGGAACGAGTGGAGCTGGAGCTGGACCGGACGTGAACTCGATTCCGACATAGTTAATTCAGGTGTGCTATACTGCAGGTTGATAAAAGAAAATGGCAGTTTTTTTTTGCAAAAGTGCGTGCGCTGACCGGTCCAGTCTTCGGAGATGGTGTACACATGATTGACCGGTCCACCTGGCTGCCAATTGGCGAGCTGTGATTGGCCTGAGACTAAATCATCACATGAGGTGCAAGTTAGGGTATGGTCTGCAAGTTAGGGTACTATTACGTCCAGGAAAATCATGCGTCGCTACAACACCTGTCTAACGGCTGTGATCTAGTTCAACTATCTTCTGTTGCAACAACGGAATGAGCAACGTGACGGCCGCCATAGTGTTATTATTATATTACTACTAGTACATGTCCAAACATTTGTGTATGACAACATTCGTGACAGGACAAATGCCTCTCGCGCTTGTGATTTTGCTGGCATTTTCATGTCCTTTTGACCTTCACCATGCATGCACAAATGTTTAGAGTTGAGACATTCTAAATATAGGAAGGTGGCTTTGGTCAGGAAGAGATGCACCTCCGATGACGGCGAGCCGCATATGCATGCACCGACAAGCTCGCCACCGACACCGCCGGATCATCCTCCCCCCGTTTGCCCCCTCTTCTGGTCTGCCCTATAAAAGCAGGGCAGCAAGCAAGAAGAGGCACAGCGGCAACAAGGAACAGTTCAAGAGAAGAGAAGATGGCTTCTTCTTCCTCGTCGGTGCTGCTGGTTGCGGCGGTGTTGGTCGCGGTGGTGTGCGGCGCGCACGGCATCCCCAAGGTTCCCCCTGGCCCCAACATCACGGCGTCTCCTGCGAGCTACGGCAACAAGTGGCTGGACGCCAAGACCACGTGGTACGGCAAGCCGACGGGCGCCGGGCCCAAGGACAACGGCGGCGCCTGCGGGTACAAGGAGGTGGACAAGGCCCCCTTCCACGGCATGACCTCCTGCGGCAACATCCCCATCTTCAAGGACGGCCGCGGCTGCGGCTCCTGCTTCGAGCTCAAGTGCACCAAGCCCGAGGCCTGCTCCGGCGAGCCCACCATGGTCACCATCACCGACAAGAACGAGGAGCCCATCGCCCCCTACCACTTCGACTTCTCCGGCCACGCCTTCGGCTCCATGGCCAAGAAGGGCGAGGAGCAGAAGCTGCGCGACGCCGGCGAGGTGGAGATCAAGTTCCGGCGCGTCAAGTGCAAGTACCCGCCGGGCACCAAGGTCAACTTCCACGTGGAGAAGTCCTCCAACGAAAACTACCTGGCCCTGGTGATCAAGTTCCTCCAAGGCGACGGCGACGTGGTGGGCGTGGACATCAAGCAGAAGGGCGAGGACAAGTGGACCGAGCTCAACGAGTCGTGGGGAGCCGTGTGGAGGATCGACACCCCCCACAAGCTCATCGGCCCCTTCTCCGTCCGCTACACCACCGAGGGCGGCACCAAGACCGTCGTCGAGGACGTCATCCCCAAGGGCTGGAAGGCCGACACCTCCTACGAGGCCAAGGGCGGGTACTGAAGATGATGATGATGATGCGATCCACACCTTCCGGCAGCCAGCTTAATTAATTAACTAACTCCTTTTGGCTACATATGATGCGATGAGAGCATGAGTATTATATACTTATTCATTCATTTACTATAGGGAAAGAGCGTGGACAACTAATAATTTTTTGTTTTGATGTATCTAAACTTGCTCATGATTGTAAACATGTCTTATTAATAGAAATTGGTACGCATGCATTAATTATGTTTTCTTTTCTTTCAAAAATCCCATAAAAGATTGCTCGAGCTAGCCCGTTATATTTCTTCTTCTCTTCTCAAAAACTGAATTGCCACACCTAAACAACAGGGCAGCACTATAGCTCACTTGGAGACCACTTAGTTAGGTCGCTGGATGGTCTCCATTTTCGCCAAAGGGAATATATTAATATTTTAAAGATATCGATTACATCCAGACTCTGCAACAATGAAATGTTCTACAAACATTAAGGATGAACACAGCCCTACAACAAAGAAGAAGAAGAAGAAAACAAAAGATTCCGCTACGGTGATCAAAACCATGTAGCTGCAAAACAAACCATTGGGAAGGCAAAACTCGGAGTCCAAATTCTCTAAAAGTGACGCTTCCAAGAAGAAAACAGTGCAGAAATGCTCTCGCCGCCCGATCATAGATCTCAGGTTTTCACCCTGAACAAAGCCCGCGCTCTTAATACAATGCTTTCAACAAGGCCGTTGCCAGGCACAACCACTTAAGGTCATACCTTGGATTTTCACCTTGAAAGATAAGACTATGTACTCCTCCTGTGTTGCCGTGTCCGCTTGCCGATGCCGCTGCCAGGCACAACCACTCAAGGGCAAGGATAAGTGGATCGAGCTCAAGGAGTCGTGGGGAGCCGTGTGGAGGTTCGACACCCCTGACAAGCTCATCGGCCCCTTCACCGTCCGCTACACCACCGAGGGTGGCACCAAGACCGTCGCCGAGAACGTCATCCCCGAGGGCTGGAAGGCCAACACCTCCTACGAGACCAAGGGCGGGTACTGAAGATGATGATGATGATGATGCGACACCTTTCGGCCTTAATTAATTAACTTCTTTTGGCTCGAAAAGAAGAATAAGCTAGTCGCACATATCATATACTAGTACAGTAGTAGTATTTGATGAATGCAAGCTCCTGCACGCATGAAATATACATACTCGTTCATTCATGGTGCGTATATATAGGGAGAGAGCTCCATGCATGGACAACTCATAATTTAAGGTGGCGAACTTGTGAGGTGCAATCAAGGAGGCATCCACCCAAGAATTGGTTTGCTCTCCCGCGCGCCCACTGAGGGAGTCTTGGATTAGGGGGTCCTCGGACAGCCGGACTGTTGGATTATGAAGATACAAGATTGAAGACTTCTCTCCGTATCCGGGTGGGACTCTCCTTTGCATGGAAGGCAAGCTTGGCAATTCGGATATTTAGATTCCTTTCTCTGTAACCGACTCTGTGTAACCCTAGCCCCCTCCGGTGTTTATATAAACCGGAGGGCTTAGTACGTAGGACAACAACAATCATAATCATAGGCTAGCTTCTAGTGTTTAGCCTCTATGATCTTGTGGTAGATCAACTCTTGTAATACTTATATCATCAAGATCAATCAAGAAGGAAGTAGGGTATTAACTCCATAGAGAGGGCCCGAACCTGGGTAAACATTGTGTCCCCTGCCTCCTATTACCACTAGCCTTAGACGCATAGTTCGGGACCCCCTACCCGAGATCCGCCGGTTTTGACACCGACATTGGTGTTTTCATTGAGAGTTCCACTGTGTCACCAAAAGACTGGATGGCTCCTTCAAAAGGGTGAGGTTTCCCCCCCCCCGACAGATTTTTGTATTCGGCGACTTCGCACTGCGGGCCAACTCGCTTGGCAATCTGGAGCAGATCGATAGCTACTCCCCTGGCCATCAGGTCAGGTTTGGAAGCCTGAACTACACTACCGACATCCGCGGAGACTTGATCTTCGACGGATTCGAGCCCATGACAGGTACACCCCACAACCACGATGAGCATGACCTAGATCTGCCATCGGACAATATTCAGGAGATCGCACCTGCAGCTGCGCTGGCTTTAGATCCAGTGCAGGTCGCGCCATCCGAGGACGGGAGGATGGACCCCGCCGCGGAAGCCGCACACTCAACGGTGATAGGGCCGAACACAGATTTCACCCCCAACGAGGTCTATCTCATCGGACCCTCAGACTTGTCTCCGGTCACAGAGTCCAAACCACGCGTATCCACGCCCATCGGATCTAACTGGGCACCGATCTTGGAGTTCAGCTCCGCAAACATCTTTCAGCACTCGCCCTTGGGCGACGAGCTAAACTCATTAAAATCTCTCTCCTTGTCAGGAGACTCTTGGCCGAACTATTGTCTAGCTTGAGTGGGAAGCGGACCACGAAGGAATTCGTTACCCACCCACCACCCACTTAATAGCCACTGTCGACGACTTAACCGACATGCTTGATTTCGACTCTGAAGACATCGATGGTATGGACGACGATGCCGGAGAAGAACAGGAACCACCGCCCACAGGGCGCTGGACAACCACATCATCATATGACATATATATGGTGGACACACCCAAAAAAACAATGGCGAGGATCAAAAAGATGCAACAGAGGATAATCCTCTCGAGAAGCAGCCGAAGGCCGACGTCAGTGGCGCCGTTCTAAACCACGCCAAGGTAGAAACAATGATACCGGCACAAGAGATAATAGCACTCCGAATGATGCCGAAGACGAAAACAATCCCGCCCAGCCAAGCTTCGAACAGGCTGGACGGGAGGATGGGCAAGCTAGCCCCGACGAACATGCCATGAATGAAGACTCGGAGGATGACAATTACATGCCCCTCTCCGAAGACGAGGTGAGCCTCGGCGATGAAGAATTGACCATGCCAGAGGATCCCGTCGAGCAGGAGTGCTTCAAGCGCAGGCTTATAGCCACTGCAAAGAGCCTGAAGAAAAAACAGCAGCAACTTCGAGCTGATCAAGATCTGCTCACTGATAGATGGACTGAGGTCTTGGCGGCCGAGGAATACGGACTCGAGCGCCCAACCAAAAGTTACCCGAGGCGCAGGTTGTTACCTCAATTCGAGGACAAGGCACTAGAGCCCATACTACCAGCGCAGGATGCGGCTGACCGACCACCTCGTGGACGAGACAAAGCGGCGTATCAGTCCGAACACCAACCCGCACCCCGTCGCCAAACAAATAAAAACACGAAGGCCCGAGGCTACACGCATGACCTGCGAGACGAATTGGAAAACAAAGCAGGACAGTCAAGATCGATCCACGGATCACAGGGGTGTGCCCCAATGCGCGACGATGACCGCCATGTCGGATATACCAAATACAAATCCGCCCGGGCCAAACTCAACATACCAGATTCATCCAAGCTGCGTCGCGATGTAGCCCGGCATAGAGGCGCTGCACACCCCCTATGCTTCACCGATGAAGTAATGGAGCATGAATTCCCAGAAGGGTTTAAACCCGTAAACATCGAACCATATGATGGGACAACAGACCCCGCGGTATGGATTGAAGATTTCCTTCTCCACATTCACATGGCCCGCGGCGATGATCTCCATGCCATCAAGTACCTCCCACTAAAACTCAAGGGACCAGCTCGGCACTGGCTGAATAGTCTGTCGGGGAACTCCATTGGCAGTTGGGAGAACCTGGAAGACGCATTCCTTGAGAACTTTCAGGGCACTTATGTGTGACCATCGGACGCTGATGACTTAAGTCACATAACCCAACAGCCCGGAGAGTCAGCCAGGAAATTCTGGACTCGGTTCTTAACTAAAAAGAACCAAATCATCGACTGTCTAGATGCCGAAGCCCTAGCGTCCTTTAAGCATAACAGCCGTGACGAGTGGCTCGCCCAACACCTCGGCCAAGAGAAGTCGCAATCCATGGCAGCCCTCACGACACTCATGACCCGCTTCTGTGCAGGCGAGGATAGCTGGTTGGCTCGTAGCAACAGCACATCAAGAAATCCTGGCACTTCAGACGTCAGAGATAGCAACGGCAAGCCCCGTCGCAACAGACACAAGCATCACAACAATGGTGATAACGCTGAAGACACGGCCGTCAATGCAAGATTCAGTGGCTCCAAGTCCGGTCAACGGAAAAAGCCATTCAAGAGAAACAGTCCGGGCACGTCCAGTCTGGACCGTATACTTGACCGTCCATGTCAAATTCACAGCACCCCAAGAACACCAGCCAATCATACCAACAGAGAATGCTGGGTCTTCAAACAAGCCGGCAATTCAGGTGCTGAAAGCAAGGAGAAGGGGTTGCAAAGCAATGACGACGATGAGAAGCCCTGGCCACCGAACACAGGAGGGCAAAAGAAGTTTCCCTCACAAATCAAAATGGTGAATATGATAAACGCCACCCATATTCCCAAATGGGAGCGGAGGCGCACACTTAGGGACGTCTACGCAACGGAGCTAGTCGCCCCAAAATATAATCCATGTTCGTCCGACCCGATCACCTTTGACCGCAAGGATCATCCGACCAATATCCGTCAGGGCGGCTCAGCCGCACTAGTTCTTGACCCAATAATTGACGGATTCCACCTGACACGAGTCCTTATGGACGGAGGCAGCAGTCTGAACCTGCTTTATCAGGATACAGTGCGCAAGATGGGTATCGATCCTTCAAAGATCAAACCCACTAAGACCACCTTTAAAGGTGTTATACCAGGCATGGAGGCCCGCTGTACAGGCTCCATCACTCTAGAAGTAGTCTTCGGATCCCTGGATAATTACCGCAATGAAGAGTTAATCTTTGATATCGTCCCTTTTCGCAGCAGCTATCACACACTGCTCGGACGAACCACATTTTCTCGATTCAACGCGGTGCCACACTACGTTTATCTTAAGCTCAAGATGCCTGGTCCACTCGGCGTCATAACAGTTAATGGCAAAGCTGAACGCTCCCTCCGTACCGAAGAGCACACCGCCGCC